TTATCTTGCACTCGTAGCCTGGGTAAGATGTCGCAAGAACATATGGAGGAACTTGTGCTGCTGCTCCCTGAAGCTCGTGACCCGCCTGCTGCTGAGCCCTTGAGTTGCATTTGAATGAGAGCGCCATGGCTAATGTTCTACACATGCACCATTTATGCCACAAAACAAATCGGATCACTGTTAATTATGAAGCTGCTATAATCAGGCCTTCACATCTGTGTAATGTGAAGCGCAGTAGGCTGTATTCCAATAATGTAGGACTACCTTTGGGTCGCAAATTGTGAGCCATATTGCCTCAGTAGTAGTTACTGCATTCAAAGCAACTCCTTTGATAAAAGCTCATCACAGGCATATTTTTATCCAGAAATGTTTTTTAACACAAGCTCCTCTTTATCGGCTATTGACCAGAACAGCTAAAGCATATGGCACAAGTTCATTAATGAACGAGAGCACACAGCACTCTAATTTAATGAAACCACTTGAGCCATAAAAATCAGGTCTACTTAATTCTCCCCCACCTTCTTTTTCCTTCCTCTTTTGCATCTATTCAAAACTCATAATAGGATATTGTCAGTGATCCTATAAAGATATGGATTATATGTCCTTATCTTTGTCAAAGCAATTATTAAGAGATAACATAATTTGGGTAAAACAGTGACAAAAAAATTAAGAATAAAAAACAAAAACAAATAATTTTTCCACAAAATTATACATACATTTTTAGACACGCATATATGAATTATTAGGGCATATCATTTGTATTTTAAAGATTACATGTTAGCAGCTGCTGTCTAACACAAAACTGCTATTTATTCAGTGAAAGATCTTCCTGTGAAAAGCAGCTAGACAAGCTGTACCCAGATGGCAAAGCAGCTACAGTTTAATTAAGCCACTAAAAGCCGTTCAGTTTTCAGTAAGGGTAATGTAATTTTGAATAATTGTAGGGGGAAAATTACTACAACGTTCTTAAGTTTTATTATGGTAGCACGAATACTGCCAGTATTGAGTAGTTAAAGTTGAGTTGCTGTTCCTATTATAAAGCTTGCACTTTTCTTCTTTTCTTTCTTTTTCCCTTTGCTTGGAGGAAAGAGTTCCTTGATTACCTGGTTTTCTAAGTGAATAAAATCAGTCTAAGGTTTCTGGATGCCATACTTTATATATGATTTGGAAACTGAACTTTTTCCAGGATAGCATTTTCACTTTCCTTCTTTCCTTCCTTCATGTATCAATTTAAAAACACCAAAATAAAAACAATTTTAGTATACCTCAAAACATTTACATATTCATTCTTTAATGGAAAAATGTTATATTTCCTGATTTATTGCCAAAATTACATACTGAAAATATATATCCTGAAAAATACTACAAGATGTTGAATGTTAGGTTACTAGTAATATTTAAATACCAAAAAGTGCTCATTAAACAAAAATTTTTGAAAGTCATGAGCATTTCAAATAAATGCTTCTAATTATGACATGATTAAATTAAAAAAGGAATATAATGCTAAAGGCAGTTATATGTTACACTAAAAAACCATTACCAAGCAACATTTCTCATTGATAGATATCCTTATACAGAGAATCACTAATTGTTAATTTTCACTGAAAATAATCTGAAATGTTCAAAATGCCTCTGGCATATTTTAATTTACTTACATAATCTAGAAATCACTGGCATAAAACAATCAAAAGTAAGCCTATTATGAATGTACAATGTTGATATTTACTTGGGAAAAAAACTGGGAATATTTTTGGATTTGTCCATAAATTGTCAATATTTAGCTATATTTTTATGTGTTCAGGTATAAACCCATTTCAACTAACTTTTGAATCAATACGAAGTTTATGTAAAATTATTTTTTCTGAATTATTTCTTTATATATTTATTATTTCTTTATAATTATATCATATGCAATTTTGTATACATGTTTTATGTTAAAATTATAGTTAACCTTTTTATAAACCTGTCTACTTTTAACAGTATTGTAGCATATTTTGTTTTTCCCCTGCAATCAAATACATTTTAACTCCTGACAATTGCCTAGAAAGATCCCTACCATTTTCTTGGCAACACTTTTAGAAGTCGTTTCCATTGCCTGTTTCATAAGGATGAGGGAGAATGACTGGCCCAAGGTTATCCAGCTGACTCACAGGTCTCCTAGTTTCTAGCCCAGTGCTTTTAACCTCTACATCAAACGTATTTCCTTAGGCAAAGCCAAATGGAAAAAATACATAAAAAACACACTATCCTGCCTTCTATACCATATATTTCTTTGAGTAAGAACTTCCATAATACCTGCCCTTCCCTACTTTCATTTTAGTAACATACAATTGTTTTTCAACTTCAAAACATTTTTAAGCTCCAGGTCTGCTGATCTCAGTAGAAATGTCCCAATATGAAGCCGGCCCAAAGAATATAACTGGGCCATTTGGAAATCAGAAAATTTGGAGGAGATCGAACAACATCAGCATATTCTTATGGCATTGAAGTAGTTTTTCAACAAGGGTCAAAATGTTTTGCACATCTCTATCACACTTATATGAGGGAGATGGGTGGTTCTTAAATATGATAAATAAATATTTCAGATTTATTACAGTATATTATTCTAAACCAGTTATTTATTTCTTCTAGCGTATGGAAATGGTACATTAGCCAGAAGACTACTGTGTTAGTACAGAGTACTTGTTTGGCTGCCTAAGATTGCTAGTCTGTTTGCTCGCTCACTAACCAGAAGTGCACCACAGGGGTTGAACTAGCTCCACACTCAGAATGGTTAATGGCATTCTACAGTGTCATCTAAGGCTTTCCCCTCCACCAATGTCGGCTTGCATTTGGATGTTGCATTGGGCAGCTCTGGCACCTGTTGGGTTCATACTTCTGCACAAAGCATTGTTATTTTTCCCACTGAAGTGGTTTCTATTTATCTATATAGCATGCTTTCAAACTGGTAGGTTGCAGCCAGCGTTAATAAATTGTTCAATTGTTCCAATAGAAGGTATCCTCATTTAATTCACTTTGGAGCCACCCTATTGTTCAATAACAAATACTGAGAAGGTGCAACTGTTCAAGAACTCCAGTAAATGTCCACTGCAGGTTTGGAGATATAACCATTAATAAGAACACTTTACCAACTTATGAAAATAACATAACTTGTGTTTATTTGTACGCACTATGCTGACTTTTGTACGTATTATTGTATTTCAATATCTGGACAACTTCCATGGAAATTATGAAAGGCTGTGAAACTATATGACATGTAACATGCAAATAATAGAGCTGTCTCAGTTATTTTTCATTTTGAAAATACTCTAAATATTCAATTATTTAATTTTTAAGAAATGAAAATAAATTTACTGGTCATTGGTTACGTGCAATGATAATCCAATTTCAATTCTTCTACCTTGCTGGCTCTTCTGATATCAATGCAGATCCAAACAATTTGTACTCACTTTGTTGATAAGGAGCTGAAAGTATATGTCAATCTAGATTCTCATAGAAAAATGTCCTGATAGTTGAAACACCAACTCTAGGAAGCAGAAGTGTGGAAACCACACCACACTTGGCCTTTGACATTATTAGCTTTGAAAAAGCCCAATATGAACCAGTAAACTTGAGCTGGATTAATGGGCAAGTAGAAAGATTGCCAAATACAATTCATTGAGTACTTCCTAAAGAACAGTGGTAAAAAGGAGTGGGTGCTGGGAGAATGGTTCTACTCAATTTAGAAGGCTGGCATTACAGTTGAAGATGACAGAAGATTATAAGTTTGCCTACCTAAGAAAAGAGAGCAGACCACAAACTGCCAGCTTGATGGATGGAGAGATGTGTAACATTAACCCTTCTCTTAACTAGGTAGGTATCAAAAGTTAACATAGGATAGGCAGGTGTAGTATTTAATCATATATAGGGGCATATATATTTGCAAAGTCTATGCATAACTTATTTATTTTCATAACTTGCTAAAGTGTGCTTATCCGAGGGAAAAGGAAAAATGCTTATTTTTGATACTTTTATAATAGGACAGAAGGAGAGAAAAACTTGTTTGCAAAAGAATATAATTAATGAAGCTTGAGGCTAGGAAAACCAAAAACTGTTCTTGTATAGCTTAGCTGAAATTGCTTTTTACTATCTTTTAGATTATCTAAAATGATGGGAAAAAATGGAATGCTAGTTCAGACTGCCACTTTCAAATCCTTTGAACTTTTAAGAACATTTGGTAAATTATTATAAGACAATAATCACCAAGAAATCTTAAGTCTCTTAACTAAATAGATTTTAAACAATAATTTAATATTTCTCATATGATTAAATAAATGTTTTGAAGGGGAAGTATATTTGGGCTAGTAAAGTGCGGGTTATATTAAGTCAGGATGGAATATTGTTTGCCTTATTACTGCTATTTCTGTCAAAACACCCTGAACAAATAGTAGGAGTTTCAGACATTGAAGATGATATCCTGGAAGAGGATCATGACCAAATGTCCTCAACAGGTCAGAATACATATTGTCCTTGTTTGGAGTCTAGAAAATTGATGATGACTTTTATTGAAAAGAAAAGAAATGTGAACATGATAGCTCATGTACAGTGCCTTAATTCATGTTTTTCCTAAAAAAATAAAGCTCTCTGCTCCATTAGCTACAATGGCTGATATTTTATATATGCCTTAATTATATTTTTTAAAATCTTGCTTGCCAATTATGCCAAAGCATTTTTAATAGATCAAAATACGATTAATCAAAAAATAAGTTGAATATTTTTTCTTTGAATTAAAGTTTCTCTTACATTTGAAAGTAAAACTTTCTTGCAAATAAAAATAATTAAATTACAGAAAAAAATATAGTTTCATTTTTAATTAAATTAGATGTAACATTAATGAATGTTACAGGGATGCCAGGTTTTGCATCACTGTTATAGCAATATGTAGGAATTTCTATAAACTATTATTTTAAACTCATAAGCTTATTTTAAACCGTTCTTTAAAAATGTAACTTTTCTCTTACCTCTTTTCTTAGTTCTGGATAAATCTGGTAGGGTAATGAAGATGCAGAACAGAAGGCCTCGTGAAGTTGCTTTTCCAATTGACCAATACGTTGTTCTTTTTCAAATAATTTATCTTGGAGAGGAACTTGATTTTGCCGGAGCTGAACTTCACTTGCTTTGAGTTTTTCAAAACATATTGTCAATTCATTATAAAGCTAATTAAAAACAAGTAGATACATTTTATGAAAATGTGTTATCATAAACAAGACACTTGTTGTTACAACAGTCTTCATCCTCTAAACAACTAAAAGTAGTTAACAAACTTAAAATTCCCCAAACAAAAATATAATAGTTGAAGACATCTCTCTCTTATATTCAATTTATAAACCAAATACAGCAAATAGAATCAAGCCTATCAGCATGTATGTACTATGATATATTGATGTTGACAGCAAGATCTGTTACTCAGCACTTTAACTCATATGGCAGATATATACCAACTAAACTAAACTAAATGCATTAGCAGACTAATTAAGAAGTAGTCTATTTTGGAATAACATTGAGGTACATTGGAGAGAATGATAGAACATTTTTAAAAGATATACAGAAAGAGAGAAATCATAGCTTAAATAAATATGTAATTTTGTTGTCAATTCTACACAGTTCCATTTTAACCTCTACACCAAACTGGCTCTCAATTATGCTGAGAGGAAAGGTGAAACTGAAAAAGTCATAGTTAGATGATGTTGATGGGACTTGGAAAAAAAGAATGGGGATAAGTTTAAACAATAAAAGGCAGTATATGTATGTACTGAAAGTTAAGTTAAGTTTGGTTTGGAAAAAGAAATAGAAACTTATAACTATGTATAAGGTACTCAGTATAAAGTAATTACTTTTGTGTTACTATTTTTTCCTCCTCCTCTTCCTCCTTTTCTCCTCTCATGCCTTTCATTTCCTTAGCTTACTATTTCTTAGTCCTTCCCTGCATTCTGAATGTAATTTACACTAAAGGAAAATAAAGTGATGTGTGTGTGTGTGTGCGCGCGCGCGTGCGTGTGTGTGTATATGAATGAATTATTGAATGTATGTATATGGAAAAATTGGTCCAAAAAGTCTGTAGAATTGTTTTGTAATTTTGTAATTGTTTTAAGTTATTCTTCATTTAAATATATAATATAAATGTTAACTATGGATATTTCTTCACCTGGATTAGCTGCTAATTGGGAATTCTGGGAATTTGGAGAGGAAGTATCATGTATGAGAATACTGAACAGTCCAAGAATATATTAATCATGATATTAGTATAATAATCATAATATTTTGTGATGTTTCTAAATCTCATCTATATATAGCTGCAATAGATACATTGTTGGAAATTTGAGCAATGTTTGAAATCACATCAATAATCTCCAGAATAGTTTATATAGACTATCATTTCAACACTAATATCTAGTTGGAGTTCATACAACACAACTGTCTCCCTTATTCAAAGCAAATATTCTACATTCAAAGAAACTCCTTGACATCATTTTATATCGTATTTACAGTACTTCTACCAGAAAAAGAAATATTTTCTAAAAATATATACCAACTATTTTACTAGTCCCAAGCAGACAAAGTGCTCCTGCAGTGTGTTCTTTTTAATGAGACTCAATAGATTTGTCCTCACCGAAGACTCAAGGTGGTAAGTCTTAAATCAATACCAAGGATAATAAGACAAGGAGAGTTTCTCAGTCTCTAGACTATCTTATCACAGTACTCAGAAATTTACAGTTTAGAAGTTTTGTTTTAAAATACAAAACTTCCTTTCACTGAGGTCTTGGCTACTATATATTTATTCATCAGGATGACTGAAAATTTCATTAAAAAAGTTATTTCAGTGGACTACAAATCTACAAATACGTACATGGAGCTAACTCATTGAAAGCAGTTTCCCATTTAAGCAACACATAATTTCCATTCACTGTTCAGGATAAAACTACAATGGTCATAATATCCAGACTGCACTCTCCCAAGCATTAATTGAAGAAATACCAGGTACTATATGTCAAAAAAAAATTAGATTCTAGGATGAAATAGAGGTAGAAGAAAACATATAGTTTAATAAAGAGGGAAGAGGTATACTTTTTGGTATGATATCGTTTCAGCCGTGTGAGCATCCTCTTGAGTTCTCAGTACTTTTTGTGTATCTGTATTGAGAGCCTGAAGCTGCTGGATCAGCTCTGCCTGCTGTGCTGCATGTTCGGTGTTTTGTTTGTAGAGATTCTGCAGCTCCTGCAATTCTTTCCTGTGCAAAGCAAGCAAGAAACAACAAAGTTGAACAAAATAAATAGCATGGTGATCTCAAATAATAGTCTTGTTAATTTTTTTTTTTTTTATGGCAATCTATTATTCTCTCAATTGTCTAAAAATTCTATCTTAATCATAATTGCATCAGTTTACAAACATACTAAAATACTACTTTTTCATGGGCCCGCTAAGTTACATTAAAATAACTGTACGTATATCATTCTAAATAAGTGCAGGATATATGTCTTAAAATTCTTAGTTAAATGTTAAAGTTGCTCAACAGTGAGATGGATGGGTTATAAATTTAATAAATTAAAATGTGATGTAGATTTGTTTGGGACAATGATGATCTCTCCTATTCTTTTTTATGTTTTTCACACAGATCCTGGTGAGTTGTCCTGAGGTTTGCCAGACAACTGGAAAAAATGTTTAATTTTTAGAACTCTTAGAAACAAGATTTCAATTCATAGGAAATATGACATATGCAATATAAGCACTTGTGCTAGGATATGGAAAGGTACTTATATTCAGAGATATTTTATTATATTATTGATAATTAGTGGAAGTAACTTGCATTTGCTAAATTCAAAAATAATTTGTAGAACTCTATGATGGTTCTTTGGGGAAATGGATCAGACCACAGAAATGGAAAGGAAAAATTATTTCTTTCAAACAAAATTAAGAATGTCTATGCACTTTTAATATTTTATCTCTCTATCTAAGCTATTCCATGGATATGTTGTTTCCTGTATATTTTATATATTTCTTTCGGTAGTAGTTATTATACAGGTATTCTGATAGATTACAAGAGGCTTATTATGCCCCTATATGTAGCTCCTATGTTGCTTTCTCCCTTCTTCTTCCTTCTACATGTTAGCTTAAATTATCTACATTTATATTAGTTATCATGGCTTAGCTAGCCGTGTCTTCAGCTGTTTTCCTCGCTATGAATTGGGAAGAAACTAAGGTGTTGTTTTTTTCTCAGCCTGATTCTAGCCTTACTAGAATCAGTGTCTCCAGATTTGGCTACCAGAGTTGCTGGCTGGCGTTTTCTTGGCCTTGTAGTCAGGTATCAATTGCCTCTGGTCTGAACTGATGCAGGAACTCTGGATCTCTTGGATTCTGACTGTGAGGGGAAATGTTTACTAATGTTGGTTTGACGTCAGTATGATATAAAAGTTCATGGGGTTGCTAGACTCTGCCTTTCTTCTCACTGTTTGCAGCTTTTAGCAGCTCTGGAAAAAAAACAACTCGTTTCTTCCATGCCTCTAGTCATCTGAAGCAAACTGGCTCTGCTCCCACAGATTGACCAAACTAACTTTGGGCTTAGATCTTTTGCTTTGCTCTGTTCTTGCCTGTAACACTCCTTTCCTCTTTCTAATGCAATCCATTGTCATGATTCCTCCCAACACACCCACATCCAAGTCCAAAACAATCTCCTTTTGTAGCTGCCATGCAGCTGCCTCAAAGGTAGGAAAGAAAAAAGGGTAGAAATGAGTAAAACTCAGTACCCAATAAGATCTGAGACTAATATCTACAATAGCCTTTAGAAGTCTTTTACAAACACATCTCTCAGTTGGCCTATGTTTAATTATTAGATTTAAACTTTTTCCAAAATGATACTTTAATGCTATGCAAGGCAGCTTCTGTAATTTTATAGTTGTTTCAGAGTTCTGATATTTCATTTCATTTCAATTCAATTCAATTCAATTCAATTCAATTCATTTATTTATATTTCATGTTTCTAGGCTGTCCATCTCCCTCAAGGAATTTGTATTTTGTATACTACTGAGCGATTTCATCTAAAAATTAAATCAATACATTTGATTCTGGTCACCTAACCAGAAGAGATAGTATGCTATGCTATGCTATGCTATGCTGACTGGAGAATTCTGAGAGTTGAAGTAAATAACCAGCTCAGCAGTTGAGCCATCTAAGTATGTATCTGTTTTTTGGGGAGCCCCAGGCCTTGAACAGAACCAGCCCATGCATGGCACATTCTCTTTTTATCATTGCACCTTTTGGCTACAATTGAGACCAAAATTTTGGTCACTAAGCAATGTGGTTGTTAAACAAGTCATGTGACTAGACCTAACTTTACAACCATTTTACTTTGGTCCTTAGAAAATCATGTTAAGGTATTGAAATTTAAGAGCTGACCAGCTGTAAAGCTGATGCAATGTAAAGCTGATACAATGTAAAGCTGATGCAATGTAAGGCTGATGAAATGAAGATGAATCAGCATTGGTATTGCTGGTTTTAGACTAAGAAGGGGTTTACAGAAGTTTTACCACTTTAAGAGCTGTTTAATAAGCCAGCCATTAGAGGACGTATTCTCTTTCCTTGTGTCCTGTATCTATTGCAGAGTTCTCCATGTAGAGTTAAGAAGATTGATTGCTTGTCAGGTATTTGTCTGCAACATATATTTCTGTATATGTCTTGTATATAAACCACTGTTAATGTCTAAGCCTCTGTGTGCTGTGTTTTGCTCCTGGGTTGTCTCATAATAGCAGTCACGTTGCAAACGCTCTGACAAATCACCATGGTCATTAAACAAATCACAGAGTCATTAAGCAAATCTAGTTTCCCCACATGACTTTGCTTATTAGAAGCTGGTTGGCAAATTGTGATCATGTGACTGCAAGATACTGCAACTGTCATAAATGCAAGATGGTTTCTAAGTGCCTGAATTGCAATCACATGATTATAATTGTTAATTTTGAGGACAGGTTGTAAGACATTTTTTCTGAGGCCATGTTAGATTCGAGTCGTTATTAAATGGTTGTAAGTGGGGACTACCTGTAAGTTTAAACTTTGTGCATTTTTTCTCTCTAAGCGAAGCTAGTCCCTTATGACTCAGGGGTGCTGTGCCTTTAAAATGCTTACTGCCCTTTTTTTTACCATGGGAAACTAGCCCCCTACAGCATAGCAGTTAGGCTGAGCATGCCTCTTCAGCAGCAGGAGTAAGAATACAGCAAAAGTAAGCTGGGGCAGCAAAGTTCAAAGTGGTAGGGGCCAAATGAGCATAGATGTGTGGGAGATAGGAGGATAAGGGTGTTGCAGAGCCCTACAGTCGTAAATGCAGGCAATCTGCAAAGTACTTGAATTTTGATCACATGACCGAGGGGTTTCTACAACAGCCCTGACTTCAGAAACCTGTCATAAGTCCCTTTGTTTAGCACCATTTAAACTTCAAATGATTGCTGAACAAATGTTTGTTAAGTCAAGGACCACTTGTAAAGCATATGGATAAAGTACTGCAAATCCAAACAATGTAACATTACCCCATTTTATTTATTGTATCAAACATACTTAGCTCTGGCCACATCCAAATCCTTTTGTGTTAATTCAGTCTGCTTAAGCCCCAGCTGAGATGCCAGGTCATCACATCTATTGTGTAGGACTTCCACTTGTCCCCTTGCTTCTCTTAAAGCCGATTCCAAAGTCTGGAAGACAATTGCAGTAGAACCAATAGCTACAGTACAGGATAACAATACTACAATTAAATTGTAAGTAAAAACAAGAAGGATTGTTGATTAATCTAAAGTTTAAAAATGTGAGTTCGTAGAAGTTACCGTGAACACCCTTTCTATCTATACTGCGAGAGAGCCCAGGATGGGTTGACTCCTTCCTATGATGTCATTTAGCTGAGTCTGTACTAAGATATAAAAGTCAGTCCCCGGGGGAGACCCCAGCTTTGGTGAAGATACTTGACAGACTGAAAGGTGTCTCTGAAAGCCCAAAATAAATACAGAAATATGTCTTACCCTCTCTGGACGAATCAAGGGAGGGGCTGGGCTCTCTCGCAGCATAGATAGAAAGGGCGTTCATGGTTAACTTCTACCAATGCCCATTCTCCTCCATGCTGCATTGAGAGCCCAGGTTGGGACATACCAAAGCTTGCATGTCCACGGGCAGGTCCTCGTCCGGCTCATCACAACGACTGTGGAACCACTCGTTGAAGCACCCGTCTGCCAAAGGCTGCAGTCGCCGAGGCAAAAGCATCCAGACGGTAGTGTCTGATGAAAGGAGACGGGGATGTCCACGTGGCCGCACAACAAATCTCCTCCAAGGATGCTTGGGTGGCCCAGGCAGAAGTGGCCGCGCTTCTGGTAGTGTGCACCATCAGACCTCGGGGAACTGGAAGGGCCACAGCTTTGTATGCCTGCTCAATGCAAGACCTGACCCACCTGCTCATAGTAGGAGAAGAGGCCTTGTGCCCCAAGTGAGAAGGGAAAAGGGAAACAAACATGGCTTCCGACTTCCTGAAGGAGGAAGTGCGCTTAATGTATATTCTAAGAGCCCTTCTTGCGTCTAGCGTGTGCCACTGCCGCTCTAAGTCATGGTGCAGGAGAGGACAGAAGTCAGGCAAAACAATGTCCTGGGACCTGTGAAACCAGGTGTTAACCTTCGGAATAAATGAGGGGTCCAGATGAAGAACAACCCTATCATCATGAAAGGAACAAAGGTCCTGTCTGATGGAAAGCACAACAAGCTTGGAAACCCTCCAGGCAGAAGTGATGGCAACAAGGAACACTACCTTCAGAGTCAGGAAACAGAGAGACACTGTTCTAAGGGGTTCAAAGGGGGGGCTTTGTAAGGGCATTAAGGATCCTATGAAGGTCCCAGGAAGGATACCTGTGAACCATTGGAGGGTGCAGGTTGGAAGCCCCTTTCAAAAACCTCCTGACTGAAGGGTGATGGGATAAGGAAGGAAGCGAACCCCATGAAAGGACTGAGGAGAGGGCTGCAACCTGCCTGCGTAAGGTGTTGGAGGCCAAACCTTTCTCCAGCCCATGCTGAAGGAAGCTAAGAACTTCTGCCAACTGGGCTGAAGCAGGAGAAAGACCCTCCCTGAGGCACCATCGGGAAAAAGCCTTCCAGGTGGCATCATAGATGTGCCTTGTAGAAGGTTTGCAAGACGCCAGGATAGTGAGGATGACCTTTTCTGGAAGATCAGCCTCCTCTAGCTGCTGCCGCTCAAGTGCCACACGGTCAGCTTGAACCACTGGGGCTCTGGGTGGAGCAGGGCCCCCTGGTGAAGGGAGATTAGATGGGCAGGGATCCTCCAAGGAGAAGCCACCGATAGGTTGACCAGGTCCGCAAACCAGGGCCTCCTTGGCCAATAGGGTGCCAGGAGGAAGAGCTCCACACATTCCTCCAACATCTTCCGAATTACAGCCGGAATGATGGGAAGCGGGGGAAAGGCATAGAGGAGACCCTTGGGTCATCTGCACCGAAGAGCATTGGTCCCCTCTGCTCCCTGGCAAGGAAACCTGGTGAAGAATCTGGTGACTTGAGCATTTTAAGGAGTGGAGAAGAGATCCACTTCCAGTGTTCCGAATCTGAGGGAAAGATTCCTGAATAGAGATGGAGAAATGGACCATTCTGCCTGGTCGACTAGGCTCCTGCTGAGCCAGTTGGCCTGGGAGTTGTCGATCCCAGAGATGTGGTCCATCGAGATCGATAACAGGTGTTTCTCTGCCCATAACCCCAACCATAGAGCCTCTCTCATGAGGGCTTTGGACCTCGTCCCCCCTTGCCGGTTGACATGAGCCTTTGCGGCCATGTTCATAAGGACTAGAACATGAGAGCCGGTCACTGATTGCCTGAAATGCTTGAGAGCCAGAAAAATGGCTCTGAGTTCTAACCAATTTATGGGAACGGTCTGCTCTGATCTGGACCAAACGCCCTGAGCTATCTGGCCCTGCATATGGGAACCCCAACCCAGGAGGTTGGCATTGGTGGTTATCACTAGCCTGTCTGGGTCCCTGAACAGGAGTCCCCTCTAGATTGACAGGGAATGCCACCAATTGAGAGATCTCTGGATTTGTGGCGGGAGTGAGACCTTGATGGATGAGTGGCTGGTTCCTGCCCACTAGTAGGGAAGCAGGAACCATTGGAGGGGTCGGGAGTGGAGCTGAGCCCACGGGATGATGCCAATACAGGAGATCATCTTCCACAAAAGTTTGGACAGCAGCGACGGGGACAATTTGATGTTGCTGGATCTTGCTGATGATCTCTGCAAGGCTCTTTCCACGAGCTGGGGACAGGAAAACCTGGCACAACATGGTATTGATGACTGCTCCCAAGTATTGCAATTTGGTTGTGGGAGAGAGCTGGCTCTTTTTGGTGTTGATGGAAAATCCATGGCTCTGGAGACATGACAGGGTAATTTGCAGATCCCGATGGGCCGCATGGATGGAAGAGGATAGAATCAAAATGTCGTCCAAGTAGCATTGGATCCTCACTGGAATAGAACACAGAGATGCCATCAGTGCTGCCAGAATATTTGTGAAGACCCTTGGAACCGATGAGAGGCCAAAGGGCAGTGCTCGATACTGGCAATAGGCATTCTGATAACAGAAACGGAGAAACTGGTGATGATGAAGCCAAATTTGGATGTGGAGGTAAGCCTCAGTGAGATCAATGGAGGAGAGGAGGTCGCCCTCCCGAATGCTCTTTAAAATAGAATGCAGAGTCTGCATTTTAAATCGCCTGTATTTTACAAATTGGTTGAGAAATTTTAGATCAAGGATGGCTTGCCACCCCCTTGAGGCTTTGGGAACGATGAAAAGGCGAGAGTAAAGCCCACGTCCCTGTTCAGAGGGGGGAACAGGTTGAATAGCCCGGATTTCAAGAAGGTGCTGAATGGCCTGATTCATGAGGGCTTGCCTGGAAATGTCCCGAGAGACAGGACAGATCAAAATATTTTTGGGGGGTGGCATTAGAAAGTCCAATTGTAACCCTGACCTAATAGTGCTGAGCACCCAGGCATCCGTCATTGACTCCTCCCATTTGGAGGCAAAGAAGGCTAGGCGACCTCCAATGGGTGGGAAGAATGAGGGATTACTTAGAGCGATGGAAGGAACGACTCCCTCCCCCCCGAAAGGGCCGTTTACCAGTAGAAGGTTGTTGCCTGCCAGATGCCTCTGCCCGTTGATCTTGGCATTGGGAGTACGGCCTGTGAGAGCGGGGGAAGCAAGATGAGGTCTCCACTCGGAAGGCAGGAGGGCGATAAGAAGCAGGCGATAGTCGGCTTTCTTCCCAGAGGAAGAGAGAATTTTACATTTATCTCTGGTTTCGATGAGATAAGGTTCCAGAGCATCGCCAAAAAGCTTATCGCCTGTGAATGGAACTGAAGCCAGCTTCCATTTTTGGTGTGACTCTGCCTGCCAATTTCGGAGCCATAAAAGTCTTCTTGCTGCTACAGAAGATGCCATGGCCTTGGATGCAAATTTGGCGGAATTGAGAGTGGCATCTGCAGTGAATTCCGTCGCTGCAATAATCTTATTAAGGTCTTGGTGAGACCGAAAGTCAGAAGCAGGCAATCTATTCTAGAGTTGGCGCAGCCACCGTATGGATGCCCTCGTGAAAAAGGATGCTGCTGTTGAAGCCCGAACAGCCCAAGCAGCAGCCTGGTGATTGCGCTTGAGGGTCTGTTCGGAGCATTTATCATCCAGTTTCAGGATATCTTCTGGCTCCGTGGGAGTGCCAGAAGATGAGAACAAGGCCAGAACCGGAAAGTCAACAGAAGGCACTGCCAGGGCATTGTCCAGAGCTGCACTGACATTGTAGAAACGCTTATCCAGAGAAGATGGGCGAGGACCTGCCGAAGGAGAAGCGCACTGTTCCTTGACCATGTCCAGGAACAAGATGGGAGAAGGTAAAATCTCTGCCTGCACTACAAGCTTGGAGAAGAGCGAATCCCCTTGGCTAGAGGGATTTCCTTGTGGCTCGGGAGCCACTTCCTCTGGTGACAGCTTGGCAGTGACCAATGGCCTGAAGAGAGTAGGTTTGAAGACCACTGCAGAGGATGTCTTCTTTGGGCGAGAATCCTCTTCCTCTGAAAGGTTTTGGTCAAAAATCTCGCCCTCTTCACACTCTGAATGAGAAGAGTAACTGTGTTCAGATGGTGAAGGTCTTCCTTCCTCATCAACCTCCTCCTATTCTGGTAGAGAAGAATGGACCCTGAGGTCCTGGGGCCTGTGTAAATCAGGATGATGAGGCAAGGAACTCATAGATTGAGAAGGGAGAAGGGCCTGAACCCTTTCCAGAGGTTGAGGAATTTGCTTGAAGCCTTCAGCCAATCCCTGCCTAATGAGACAACATCCTGGATATCCCCTGGTCTATGCTCAAAGGTAGAGGCAGAAGGCAGAAGGCCCGCTGCTGTGGGAGTGAAGGTGGCTTCAGGCCTAGATTGAGGAGAGGTTCGAGGCCTGGAGGGGGGGGAGGAGCATAGGGCACAGAAGCCTGTTGGAAATAAGGCCCAGATCTGCTTAGATCCTGAGGATCTGATTGTACTGCAAGAGCCTCAGGAGACCAGGATGGAGGATGGAAAGGATCATAGATAACTTCTCCTCCCCTGGGAGGGCTTGGTTCGGGCCCACGAGTATCACCTGAAACATGCTGTAGTTGCACTCCCTTCTGTTGAATAGTTCTGTTG